CCCACCAGCTGTGGGGACACAGGCCCACCTGGCTTTGGGCCAGGATTGGCCCTATGGACCCCTGAAATGCACCGGGGGGATTTTGAGTGAGGTGCTCTCGCCATCAGCCTGGCCTACCTCACAGGGCTGTAGGGAGGAGGATAAAACTTGGGAGGGAGCCGAGGATATGAACGAAACGAATAAACAGAACCTCCCTGTGCAAGAGGAGTGTATCTTTTCTGCCGCAGCGCATCCTAAGGAGCAGGATAAGAAGGCAACTCGTATCTAAAGCAGGGTTGTGACATTTTCAGGGGACGGTGAATCAAAGCCAGCGTAGCCCAGCTCTGATGAATGGGGAAATGCCAAAATCACTGTCTTCTGCCTGACAGATAGGACTCTTTTGTTTTCTGTTTATGTGCCTTGTATTTAGATTTCACATACTGTATCTTCAAACTGAATGTTCATCCAGGGGTCACCTGTAGGCATTTACTGTATATGCCAATGAATACCTATTGGGTAAACATCTTCCTCCCCAGCCATGAGAACTCACCTCAGAAATGGCTGGTCAAGGGTTTAATATGCATATATTAACACAAGAAAGATTGGATATGAAAGCCAGAAAGAAAAGGGAAAGGGTGAAAAGAAACAAATCCAACCCCCAGCATTCACATTTCTATAGCTCTATGTGGCAAATAATATGACAATGTAAATAAAAACAGTTTTAAATAAGGGGAGAACTTTAGACAAATGGGACAGACACTAGAAAAGGTAAGAAAGGGAAAGTCAGGGATTGGCTGAGGGGAAGGCCTGCCGAAACTGTTATACAAGCTGTATACTCACTGCTTTACATTGTAGCCAAGTGTCATTTCTTCAGTGTTGTCACATGAAAAGATATACTACAATATTTATGAACTATCAGGGGGTGTACTCACTTCTGTGATATACTGTAACTATCCGCTGAGTAAATGCAACTACTTTTTCATACTCCTACATTGAAAAGGGAGTCAGGCTTGATGGCCTTATAGGGCTCTTCCAGCTTCGTTATTCAATGATTCTTGTCTCAAACCAGAATTTGGAAAAGTTACTTTTTTAGACAAGCCACAGGCTGAAATTCTATTGTATAGGATTTCAGATATGAATCGTTTTCTTGGGACATCAGCTGTTTCTGCAATCCTGTTTTAATTTTTTTAAAAAGAAATCATGGCTGAATCCAGCAGTTAAGTCACGTGTTACTGTATACCCATTGAATCTTTATGTAGAGCAACAATTTGTTTTTTCAGATTCTCAGATTGTTCATTACCATGAGGTGCCATGTGGAACTTCCGGTGACCAGTCTGTGAGAGTGAGAGTGATAACACCTGCTCCCCCTTCACACCTGGGGCTTGTGACATTAACGGGTCTCATGACACCAGGGAGGGAAAACGGCTACTTAGGCCCAATTTGGACATTGTCACTTAGAGGTGTACTCACTTTTGTTGCCAGCGGTTTAGACATTAATGGCTCCGTGTTGTATTATTTTGAGGGGACAGCACATTTACACTGTTATACAAGCTGTATACTAACTGCTTTACATTGTAGCCAAGTGTCATTTCTTCAGTGTTTTGTCACATGAAAAGATATACTAAAATATTTATGAAATGTGAGGGGGTGTACTCACTTCTGTGATATACTGTACATATGTACATACACAATCTTGTTCTAACAAATCAATAACATAAATAAAATACCTATTCAACAAATTAGGAAGAGTGATACAATATTTTTTTTTCTTCCAGGAGACTCTGCAAGATGAGAAAGCAACCGTTTTGATTGTTCCAGTTACAAAGCATAAACTCTTGTACATACTAAAATCTGATATATTAGCACAACTGAAGGACTCTGCAAACATCTTCTTTATATTTATATTACAAAGGTTAGAATGTTGGATTATGCCAATGTAGGTTCCAGCCCCCCTTCACCCAGGAATCCAACTGGATGACTCTGGGCCAGTCATTCTCACTCAACATGGCCTGTCTCAACATGGCATTGTGTCTACCACCTTGAAAACCTCAGAGGAAAGGCAGTAACTGATAACAGACAAATAAACAGATGCTGTATTCTTATATGCCTGTCTCAGCATATAGATAAAATTACAGGGGTGCAGGGGCAGAAGGGAAAACTGCTAACAAGAAAAAATTGTGACACTTTAAAGAATAACGTATTCGTTTCTGTGTGAGCTTTTATGGATCAAGATCCACTTCTGCCATGTGTCCAAGGAAGTGGATTTTGATCCATAAAAGCTCACAATAAAACAAATCTGTTAGGCTTTAAGATACTACAGCTTTATCTCCTTTTCTTTTCTTTCTTTTTAACATTCCTGCCTCCTAATCTTGGCACAATATTGTTCTAGAATGTCTTCAAACCACAGAAAGAAGGTCAAGGAGAACCACAAGAGACTTTGAAACCTCCATGAGCAGGGATCTTAGGAATCTTGACAGAGATGGCTATCTTGATGTCACCCAGTTTCTGATCACCAAGAGAAGAGAGGAGCCTCAGGGTTGCAGAAGAGATCTGTGTAAGCAGTAAAATATGGGCCTGGGCTGGGAATCAATGCTAAATTCTGATACCGGTTATGTTCCTAACACCAAGCCCATTAAACTCTATCCAATCTAGTATATCAGCATTTTTGCTCTTAGGGTTGGTGCTAAAAATAATGGTGACAAACAGCAGACTGATTTGCTTACATTCCTATGTGTCTGAAATATACAATATGTATCCATTTTGTACACTGAAGAGTACTTCCAAATAAAGTGTAGCAGTTAAAGTTGATTAACATTTGAAGATAGTGCTGTTCAACCTTTTTTTAGTATTCCATATGGCAGTCTTTAATATTAGACACTATAAAAAGAATTTTTTTAAAAAAAATCTTCAAGAATTTGTCTCCAGTATGTTTTGAAATAAAGTGTAAAAAGACAGTAAGTCCCTTCATGAAGGCACTTCCTGGCTGGTCTCGCTAAAAGAAGTGAAATTTGGGTTACTAGCTCAAGACATAATCAGAACATTGCTGCCACCGTCTAGTCGTTTAGTCGTGCCCGACTCTTCGTGACCCCATGGACCAGAGCTCGCCAGGCACGCCAGGCGAACAGAACATTGCAAGAACCACAATTTTCTTACAGAGCATCAAAAGTGGAAACTGATAACAAGAGTTAACATAAACTGAGCCTCACTGCAAAAGAATTTGAAACTTTACTTGGTCCAAAGTTTTAACACTTTGTAAGCCTCTTTACTTATTGTACAAGGCACTTTATGATCCAAAGATCAAAGCACTGGGCTTGGGTGACCCAGGTTCAAGTTCCCAGTGAGCCAAGAAATTCACAGAATGACCTTAGCTTGGCCCTTGTCACAGGACTGTTAGGAGAAAAAAGTGGGAGAAGAGCCATGTATGCCACCTTGAGGTAATTAGAGGTCACAGTACTCCCATACAAAAATCCCCTCTCTATCATGCCATGCTTTTGACCACGTTAGCAGTATAATTTAGGGCAAAGTTTGAAATCTCTCTCTCTTTTTTTTCTTTTCTTTTTTTTTACTAGTGAAAAAAAAATGTGGAGGCAGAAATCTTTGTCCTTCTGCTGCATTCAACTAGATATTCAGATCCTGATTCAATTTGTGCCCTTTTCTGCAACAGGATAACCATGGTAATATATTATTCCTCCATTTACTCCTTCCACTTGCCCCCTCTTCCTCTATAATTTCTCTCAGGAATTGCAGCAGGAATCAAACCAGTCCTCTGTGAGGTGACATGGACACATGACATAGCAATAGTAATAACAATAACAGAGTAGCTTCACATCCATGCAATAACATTTACCAAGAACTTACTATATGGAGTGGTGCAACTCCAGAGATATCAAGCAAAACATTATGCATTTCTGGCAAACCTTGGAGTAGTGAATCTCTATAGGAAAGGGCTTAAACATATGAGGACATGGTTGGAAACTATTCTTGCAGAGAAGGAACCTACCCCTGCTATCTCCTATACAAAAGCTCTGACGTGTGAAAGTTATCCCTTAAAACACAGTTTATGGGTAATGTGTAACTTTAGTCTTTGGTGGTGTTGGGAGGGGGGATATTCATGCAACTGGGTAGCAGGTGGGTTAAAAGGAAACAAACAAATCCCTTGACAAATTTCAGGTGAAGCATTATAATAAGCTCCCTCCCCCCCTCCAAACAATTACTAGTTTAATTGCACAGCACCATGCCTAGATAATGTCATGGTTACTACTGAGTGCTGCTAGTTACAAAAACAAATGCGGAAAAGCAAGTGCCTTAAAGTCATCTAATGTGGGCTGTGCAGTTGTTTTTAAAAAAGCAAAGCAGCTGCAGCTTTACTGACAAGTCATTAGTCCAGGGGCAATACCTGCTGTCAGAATGTATAATTTAGAAGGTCCCCGTCAGAAGGGAAGGGAAGGAAGACCATAAACCACTTTCCCCATGTTGGGGGAAGGGTGTCCTTATTCATATAGGTCTCAAAGGGCAAATAGCCACCATTGGCTGCCGGCAGCTTTTACCTCAGCGTGTTGAAGGCGAGTCAGGGCTGAGAAAGAGAGGCGGACTTCTCTTCTCTTCTCTTCTCCACCCACCCACCCCCCGGCTTTCTCCGCCTCTGCAAGCCGACATTTTTCAAAAGTTTCAGGGGGGATGCACGGAGGGAGAGAAGCAGGGCGCATGGGAGAGGGGGCGGGGAGCCACCAGCCGAAGCCGGGAGTGCGTCAGGCCCACATAACGCGCGCAGAGCGCAGCACCATCACCCCGCCGTCAAAGGCTATAGAAATGCCTCCGAGTCTTAACAGAGCCTAGAGACCAGCTCCGTTTTGGGGGCTGTTAGGGGCTTTTCTCCCCCCTCCCGCCCCACCGTTCCCGGTTCTCTCAGCCCACCTAGGCTGTCCCCTCCCCTCCCCCCTTCCTGAGGTAGCGGCCGAGCAAACTTCTGCCCCTGGCCAGGTGCGCGCCAGGCGCGGGGGCGAAAGCGCGGGTCCCCTTACCTCCTTCTGCTTCGGGTCTTGCGGGTAGACGTCGGGCGGACCCAAGCGGGACCGCTTGAGAGGTCTCTGCTCATAGCTGAGGAGCCCGAAGGCGGCCATGATCTCTCATCCTCCCCCCTTCCTGAGGTAGCGGCCGAGCAAACTTCTGCCCCTGGCCAGGTGCGCGCCAGGCGCGGGGGCGAAAGCGCGGGTCCCCTTACCTCCTTCTGCTTCGGGTCTTGCGGGTAGACGTCGGGCGGACCCAAGCGGGACCGCTTGAGAGGTCTCTGCTCATAGCTGAGGAGCCCGAAGGCGGCCATGATCTCTCATGTTAGCCGGCGAAATGAATGAGAGAGAGTTGGAGATGGAGCAGCCTGTGAGCACCAGGGAGCAGCACTTGGCTGGCAGACAGACTCCCCCTCTGGGTCTGGCTCTTTTCCTTCAGGGGAAAGAGATTTTGTGGGGGGGGGGGAGAGAGGCTGGGCGGCTGAGAAATGCAACCCAACCCACCCACAGAGACTCATGCCACCCCCGCTGAAGTGCCCGCTAAAAGAATGGGGGGTGGGGGGGAACGGCAATCAAATCTTATTTGGTGTCCTGGGGGGGGGAGAGAAAAGAACACCCCCACCTAGCCAGCAAGGAACATCATGGTGCTCTTCCTTCCTCCCCCACTTCTGTTGCAAGGTTCAGCTCCATCAGACTTGGCCAAATATCAGTGCAGAGGGTTTTTTTTCCCATCAAGGATGCAGTTTCCTTGACAAAGACACCCTCAGCACCACTACTCCGTGATACACAGCACTGAGGGTTTTAAGTCACCACTGAGATTCAAAATGGTACAAAATGATATTCACACAGAGAGAGAGAGAGGATGCCAGTGGTGCCATCTTATCAGGCATTAAGATGATCCATCTGATAATGTTAAGTTCTAGAGTCACTAAACCACAAAAAGAAATTACTGTGCACTCCTTCAGAACCTTGAAATCCATATCAGTCCAGAGAGGAACTATGACCATCTGATCGTGTGCAAAATAGATGACACTTGTTTCTCTTTTCACACTGGAAGAGTGTTGGGACAACACTTGTGAAACCGCTTCTAGAAACAGTACACATGTTTGCTAAAACATACTTAAAAGGTAAGTTACCCATGTTGTTTAAACCTTCAAGGCCCTTTAGCTCGATCCTGTGCTGTGTTTATTTAAAAGTCCAATGAGGATTGCTCACTCCCAAGTGAGTATGTTCACGATTGCAAACCTTTAATGTTTATTCTAAAACCTGATGGCAATAATACAAAGTACAGTCTCAGGATTAACTCACCCAAATAAATGTTTAAGGGGAGGTGGCAAGTGTCCTTACTAAGGGAGCAAGGATTTAATCTATCCACCCTTGAATCTGAAGCCTGGAGAAGTGGATGCGTTGGTGTAACATACGTGTATGAAGCACAAGTTTATCATCTCTAGCATTTGTCCCTAGAAAATAGTATACTGTATTTTTTATTGACCAGAAAGCAGACAGTAAATAACAATAAAAAAAGACTGGCAAAACAAAAATCTGGCCCACAACTGTAAAGCACGCTTCGTCCCTCATGTATTTTGGTGGTCATAGTTTAACCAGATGAAATGTTTTTGAGAACTCCTGGGAATTATTTTATGACACTTGGGTATATTAAGGATATAAATCCTTAATAGGATTTTTGGACCTTTCTTCCCCCAACATAGCTACTTTTGCCTTCTGTTTAATTTGATTACTGAAAATTTACAAATAATGAAGTGACAGGTACTACACTCTTGTCAATTACTACTAAACATCTTATTATTACTGTATATTGTTTTATATAGAGAGTCTAATTTTGGAAAAGTGGTCCAAGAAACAGATTATTATTGATTTATTCCTGTTTTTCTTATCTGTGACAATATTTAGGGGGATGTATTGGATACATATCCATGATTAATGGCAAAGGCCATTTGCCTATTATTAAATATGTCATTATTTACATTAGTAGGATAGCTAGTAAATCCTTAATCCCCCAAATGGTCACATCAAGTTAGCATTTGACTAGATATGCCCAATAAAGTTATTAGGATTACATGCAGATTATTACAAAGGCTACTACAGAAACCATGTTGCCCATATAGCTATTTAATCCTATTAAATATAATATAGACAGACATAAGGATAAAAGCACAGATATACAGTAAGAACCACTAAGGATACACTGTAGCCACTTACTTGTAATAATCTCTTATCTAGAGCAAATAACTTTAAATGGCCAAAACATTTATCTTATTCATTCAGGCTCTTAATTATTGCTTGATATTTTATTTGTATAGCAAAACAGACACATGTATACTCTTCACTCGCAATGGAGTAAATCCTACCATAATCTAACTTTTAAGGAAATTAATGGGGAAATTTTTCTCGTACGGCTTCCTTCCTGTGGTTTCTACAGGTTGCATCCATTATTAAACTGGGGGGAGGGGAGGTCAACAGGTGGCATTGGTTAGTAAGTATGAATATAATACTATGCCTTCTACAGTATATTTAACCTGATGATGGTGACAATAATGACCAGGTGAGGAATACAGGTAATAGAAAAAGTGGCAATGGCTTTTTAAATCAGGAATGGGACTCTCAGGTTATGCTTATCAATATAAGTTGCTGGAGTATGAAACTTTAGGTAAATAACAGCTTCATAGAAATGAAGAAGAAAGAACTACATATGTTTATTCGCGAAGGCTTTCACGGCCAGGATCTAATTGTTGTGGGTTTTTCGGGCTCTTTGGCCGTGTTCTGAAGGTTGTTCTTCCTAACGTTTCGCCAGTCTCTGTGCTGTCCTCTGAAGATGCTGGCCACAGAGACTGGCGAAACGTTAGGAAGAACAACCTTCAGAACACGGCCAAAGAGCCCGAAAAACCCACAACAACCATTAGATCCCGGCCGTGAAAGCCTTCAGGAATACAGCTATATGTGACATTTGCACAGCCATTCAAAGAGGGGTTTCCACAAGTGGTGGATTCTTTTGTCTAGTGGAATGACACCATTGAATATAGGCCAAAGAGTGCTCAGCAGAGGGTCAGAAGGATAGGTAGAAAGTGGCATTCATTCAGAGCCAGCCCTACAATTACCTGGAGTGGGTCTGTTGACTACCTCAGGCAGCACATTTTGACTTTCATGAAGAGATATGGTTCTTTCTGGTTCTTTCATTTGTATTTTTACTGCCAGGACTGAAGAGAGGTGCTTGGGCTTCAGAAGTTAAAAGAATTTGACTGACCTCAAATACAATAGCTATCGCTGACCTCACTCAGCAAAATTCCTTTGGTCAGCCCTGGTAGGACAGAGAGACAGATTGCATGTCCAGGCATCTGAGTTCTGATATATCTTTATACTAATTGTAGTGTGACTCAGGGTGCAATCGCACAGTGACAGAAGTGTATGTCTGATTGCACAAGAAAAGGTCACTCTATCAGGATCAATTTCCCTTAAAGTGACACTGATTGAGATAGAGCTGGAGTTTTTATTGTCCATACATCATATGATCACTGGGAAATAGCTCACATTCAACAGCACCATAAGTGGTACAAGCTCTGTGCTTAACCAAGTCCTCTGCTAGGCTTTTCATGTCGGATTATCTGAGAAGAGTACATGAAGTCAATTTATTTATTTATTTACAATATTTCAATCCCACCTTTCTTCCTCAAAGGAACCAAGGTGGCTTACATCATTAACATAGTATTTAAAACCTAAAAACAGTAAGTATACAAATATTCTAAGAGATTTAAACAAGTATTATATTAAAATGGTAATTAAGGTCAATATTAAAATACATTTAAAACAACAGAGCACAACAGTTCATTTAAAACCCCTCTCAGACCGCCAGTCATTTAGGAAAAGCCTGCTTGAACAGAAAGGTCTTTGCCTGGCTCTGAAAGGACAACAAAGATGGAGCCAGCCTGGCTTCCCGTGGGAGGAAGTTCCAAAGTCTGGGAGCTGCAACAGAGAGGGCCCTCCCCTCTGCTGTTCCTGAAGGGGGTGGGACTGAAAGAAAGGCCTCCCTTTCTTAATACCTGGGCAGGCTCATAGAGGGAGATGCAGTATTTTAGGTAGCTTGGACTCAAGCCATTTAGGGGTTTATAGGTTAAAACTAGTGTGGCGATCTCCTCTGAAGCCCCTATCCCCCAGGCCTTCATGAGGTTCTTGCTCTTCTTCCTTCTTTGCTGCCACCAGGTATTACTGCTTTAATACCATTTAATCATGGAGACATGAGTGTTTTTAAAACCCAAGTCATTTATTAGATTAGGGAAGTTAATATATGGATACTATTCAATAGATAAATCACAGGCTGCCAATCACTTATATTTGAATCACATGTGATATAACTTTGTACCTCTTTTAACTCTCTATTCATCATTCTTTCAGATCTCTAACTCACTCTTAGTTCACTTTTAAGTTTCACACAGTCTCTCTCTACCAGAATCTCCCTCAGACTCCATACCCCAGTCTTTATATCCATCCCTCTCCCCCCTTGGCTCCGCCTTCTGTCCACTCATTGGCTCCTTATTCACTGTTCTACTGTGACGGACAGGTGAAGGCAGTACTGTTCGCTACAACCAGCACTTTGAATTGTGCCTGGAAATGGATCAGTACCCAGTGGAGTTGTTGTAACTGGGGAGTTATAGGTTCCCTGTAACCAGCCCCAGTTAGCAATCTGGCTGCTGCATTTTAGACACACCAGAGTTTCAAAGCACTTTCTAAAGGGAATCCACATAGAGCGTGTTACAGTAATCCAACAGAGATGTAACTAGGGCATGTATCTGCAAAGAGTTTAGAATACAGCACAGAATACCTCACAGAGCTGTTTAATTATTTTTGTGCTTATTTGGAGTGCTCACACATTTATTGGGGTCCTATTGTGTTTCCTTCAAGTAGGTATTACATATAACAGCATATCTATATATACTAATTCCAATGCAAAAAAAATGAAAACAAAAACACTCTAAAGGACTTTAAAGATATTGAATATGGTGTATTTTTTTTTCTAAATTGTTTACTACATG